CTAAACTAAATATCCTATGGCATTATTAAAGATATGGGCTTTTATAAGTAACCTAACTTAAAATGAAGCCATTTTCATTTCTAAATAAAGTATAATTAATCTCATATGTTAAAAGCATTTTCTCTAACTTTATTTAGTAATACCACAAACGTACAGTATACACATAGATTTAACTTGTCTGCTATATGGTTTTATACCATAAACCATAAATCTATGTCCATTTTAAGGATGAGAAAACTGGGGACCTAAGAGGCTACATGATGTGCCTATGATCTCAGAGGTATTTGGAGTCATTGACAAAGTTTGGCCCCAGTGCTCTTTCTACGGTGCACATCACCATCCTCAGAATTAAGAGGTTTCCTAAGTCAGATGGACAGAGGGCAGGAGTGAAAAGAAGGGCCCACTCAGTCTCCCTCACAGTCAGGGGGCAGGACCTAAGACCATGCTCAGAACCAGATAGACCTGGTTCAAATTCCTGCTCTACCAATTACCAGTGCCACACCCTTGGGAAAGTTCTTGGTTTCTTTAGTAAAATAAGGATAATTCCAATTACCTCCAGGCTGTGTAATGTTTAAATGAGTTAGGATATGTTTAGAAAAATACCCAGATGCCATGCTCACCATAAGAATAATTCAAGTGTCTTCTTCTTGTCCCCAACTACCCCAAGACTAGGTTATCCTTGAGGCTGATTTATCTTCAGATACTCAATGAGAGACAGCTTTTCTCTGTTTGTAACTGCAGCTCTGATTGAAATGCCTGTGGGAAATTTGGAGATGCACACTTACTTTCTAGAGCACATCACCCAGAGGTACTAGGTAGCTCTCTTGGACTAGGAGAGATCCATACATGGCCCTTGGTCAGGGGCCTGACAGAATCAGAGTCTTCACATGATTTGGACCACATTTCCCTAATACACTTTTTCAAGTTTTGAATGTTACTGTGTTTTTGTTTCCTGAATTTTTTTTTAACTTGGAATGGATAACTTCATACATTCTAAAGCTATGAAATCTAATATATACTAAATTAATTTTGTAGCATTTTCCAATTTACAAGGCCTTTTCACATGCATTCCCTCGTTTCATCTTGAAAGGCCATGGGAAAGAGAAAGAATATGAGTTAGTTCCATCTCACAGATGGGCCTGGGCACAAGAGGGCGAGCAGGTCTGCAAGGTGATCAAAGGCAGGTGGGAAGGGAGGGTGGGAGTTAGACACAGAGGAGGAGAGATGTCACAGGCTGAGTTTTAGAAGACTATTTTGGAAAAGTTTGAGAGAATGAAGGAAGACTGGACACAGATGCTAGAGGGGTGTGTGTGTTGGGCTGTGGGAAAGTGTACGTGAGCTACTTGGAGAACAAATTTTATTTAGGATTTGTTGTGTGTTATGAATTGATCCTTACTTGGCATTGCTCAGGAGACTGCAGTGAAGGTTTAAATCACCTTTCAGTTAATTTGGGGTGTTGGTCTGATTTCTTATGATACTCTATAATCCCCTTCAGTATAGTATCATTAAGTCAGCTTTGTATAAGCTATATAAATAAAAATAACTGGAGATGCATATTGAAAAATAATTGCTACCCACTAGTGTTTCTCCAGTTAGGAACCCCAGGTGTCTTCTAGGTTTAGTGTTCCAAGAATCAGTACTCTTTGAAATCAATTAGGATGACTACTTTCAAAAAAGAAAAGAAAAACACAAGTATTTGCAAGTATGTGAAAAAATGGAATCCGTATATGCTGTTTGTAGGAATGTAAATATTGCAGCCTCTGTGGAAAACAGTTCAAAAATTAAAAATAGAATTACCATATGATCCAAGAATTCCACTTCTGGGTACAAACTCAAAAGAATTGAAATCAGTGTCTTGAAGAGATACCTGTATTCCATGTTTATAGCAGCATTATTCCAAATAGCCTAGAGGTAGAAAAAAATCCAAGTGTCCATGTCAAATAAATGGATCAAGAAAATGTAACATAGACATACAATGGAATATTAAACAGCTTAAAAAGGAAGGCAATTCTGTACTACAACATGGATGAAGCTTGAGGACAACATGCTAAATGAAATAAGCCAGTCACAAAAGGATAAATTCTCTGTAATTCTTCTTATATGATGCAGCTAGAGCAGTCAAACTCAGAAACACAAAGTAGAAGGGTTTAAGGCCATGGACCGGAGGGATGGAGGAATGGGGAGTGATTTAATAGGTACAGAGTTCCAGTTTTGCAAGATGAAAAGAATTCTGTGGGTGGACCGTGGTGAGGGCGGCACAGCATGAGCGTACTCATGCCACTCGCTGACTGCACTTAAGCATGGTTAAAGTGGTACATTTTATGTTGTATTTCATAACAAAGTTCTAAAATGTTATATAAAAGTAGGGTTAGGATACTTATTTTATGAAAAAATTTATATCTACATTAATTTGCCCTGTCCCAGCACACACAAAGTGGTAACTGAGAAAAGTTTAATGAAGGGCCCCTCTTCAGAGGAACCTACAGAATTAAGGGAACTACTGGATATCATCCATTTACTCTTCCAAATCCACTTTCCACCTAAGCTCCTCTCTCCCCTGCATCCCAGAAAACTGACTGGTATGGACCCCATCCATTATCTCCTTTGTCCTCTGGCTCTGGTCGTGCTTTGCCAATGGGAAATACCTGTTCATGATCTTTGCATTTTTCTATTATGTTACTGGACATTGTCATATTCATTTGTAAGAGCTCTTTATAAAAATAAATAACACAACGAGATACACTTCTAAGTGCAAAACTTCAAATGTGACAGGCCAAGGGTGCTGTAGGAGAAGAGTAGGTAGTTTTCCAATAAGGACAGTGCAATCCTCTCCAGCATATCGGGACCCTTTCAGTGAGCCTCTCCGCTCTAGAGCTTCCAACCTGTCCAGGCTAATCTATTTGATACAACCTGCACAGATCTTACCTGCGGACATTCCTCTGATACTTTGTACTCAGAGGCAGCATGGAAATGTGGAAAGAGTTCTTATTTGTCTTTGGAGTCAAGAGGCCCTGGTCTTCTAACTGGGTCACCTGGGGCAAGTTACTGTGTTCTCTAGTAAAGTGACTGACAATACCTACTTAGGTGAAGTTCTCCTAACACCTGTGAAAGAATCTGGCAGAATGCTTAGTTCATAGAAGGTGCACGATAGATGCTAGCTAAGGGCAGAAGAAAAAGGGTGAAGGAAATTTTCTCTAATACTCATCCCTCAGGAAACAAAGAAATAAACCTTGCCTTCTTCAAAAGACCTCCCCAGAATCTCTTCCTGACTTAGATGCAAGGGAAATAATTAAAAGCTAGCTCTCAATTTGTTTGGATATTATATGATCATATGCTGTTCTTACTTAGAGCAGTACTAATTTTATTATTTCATGGATTGCATTTCTCAGTTTCTTCCAACATTTCTGGGTCCAGTATCTCGTTTGTATCTTGTATCTACCTTCTCTGCTCCATCCCAACAGCCATTGTGCTCCTTTAGGGCCTCCACCCCTCAATTTGACTATATTAGCTTCTTGTACAGTAGTTTCCACACTGTTTTGCCTCTAGACCAGCTTGGCTGGCTTCACAATTCCTCCACAGCTTCCAAAGTTTGCTACAAAAAAATCCACATCTGTTGAAACCCTATATCCACTATCACTGCTGAAGAATATGACTTTTGCCTTATTTCTGCCTTCCAAATCTCATGTGAATGCATCTTATTGATGCAGAACTCTGGAGGCAAACAAGTTGGGGAAATGTGGTTCCTAGGCTTCCAGCTCCTATGACAACAAAAAGTAAAAAGCAAGTGGAAAAGAACTCTGAACACAGAGCAAAGCCCCACATCATGCACATACCTTTTCCTGCTGTTTGGGCCCCTCTGTCCTAATCTCACTGAACATCTGGCTCTCCTGTGATGCATTTCAGTCTGTGCTCTTCTCTCTCTGCAGAAGTCTCTTCCTGCAATTGGCCTAGCTTGCTTTCAGTCTCCTTTAGGCATTGGTTAACACGTCACCCTGTAGCAGCCACCCTGACCACCCTGTCTGGTTGGGTGCATGCTTCCTCATCACCACACACTAGAGTCAAATCACAAACATCTTCATCTGTTTGCTGGTCTGTTCTCCCTAGATGTTGGGACTTCCAGAAAGTAGAGATGGTATTTCAGTTTGTGCCTGTAGCAGTGTCTATTATACAGTACTCAGTTATCTACAGGAAAGAAGAAAAATATTCAGCAAATGTTTACTCGGCATTTGCTGTGAGTCAGGTCTTGAGAAGGTGTTAAAAAAGTAGAGAAGTTGAAAACACCATATGCTGTTAAGTCCTCATACATTTTTTTAAAAAAAGGTCATGACTATTTGTACTACCTGTTATCTCTCCCTGTCCAGTTGAGGAATGAAAGAGTTGGCTCTGGAATCAGGTTTCTTTATCACCCTGCTTCAGCATCCTCCCCTTCTACCATGAATAGCAGGATGGCTGCCTTCTCTTCTGTTTCCTTAAAAAGAGATTTGCATCTATAATCTGCTTCTGACCTCAGCCATAAGCAAGGCCAGTAAATTATAGGACACGACTCTCTTCAGATGGATGGCCTCTGAAGGACACTCCCGCCTCCCTGAGCCATTAGGCCCTTGGGTTTCTGAACTTGTCAAGGGTAATCGGTTCTACCAGGACAAATGAGGTCTATAGTCAACCAAATGTACAAACAGATGTGGCTGGTGATGAGTGGGGCCATGGCTTGGCAACTACTAGAGTCTCCTGATGGAGACATGTTTTGTTTCCTATACTTCACATTGGTCTTTGGCCCTGGGATTGCTCATTAGGAGGAAAATGCAAAAGTGCATAAAATATGATCTTTTTAGATACATATTTTGTGTTGATGCTTGATGTTTAAAACCTAAGGCTTTAGTCTCAGTGCCTGAGGTTGAGAGCAGAGGACCCTTCTTCGGGTCCTCTCTACACATGAGCCTGGTTCAGCTCACTTCCCTGGCTCTGTAAGTTAACTGGCTGTTTCTTTTCTCTTGTTACAGATTTCTTTGGAAATCTGATGAAAGCTATGGATCCTCAGAAAGTGAGTAAGTGTAACTCATGTTTTAACCACATTAAAACTTCGTTTCAGTTTTTGTTTCTGCCTGACCCTGTACAATGAAATCAGTTGGGCAATTTTCCTTTGACCTAGGTGCGAACTCCAATAGGTCAATGGCTTTTCTGTTCGTTACTAAGTAATAGTCTTCTTATGATCACTTTAGGCCAAAACACAGCTTTAATTCAGAAGTCAGAATATCTAAAACAAGGTATTAACCCAAACTCCCAACTTGATTGAGAGAGTATTTTCCCCCTCCTTCAATTTTGGGCCAGACTGGGTGGCAGTTCCTGACCTGAGGGTCTGTGCTCACAAAGAGGCCAGCAAGGGGATAACCAAGTTCTTACTGGAGCTGGTCTTACTCTCTCATGGGGGCAGATGTTTGGAGTGGATGCTTTTTCTTCTGGGCTCTTGGAGCTACCTGCTGGCTATACTTACTATGATGTAGGCCAGGCACATTTCCTTAAGCTGGCTGCTGCTGACCTCCTTCTTTATTCTTGCTCATGAGTTCTCTGGACCTCTAGCAGAAGTTCTCTTGGGCAGGTTTCAGAACACCTCCAGGTAGCTGTCTTCTACTTCTGGCTCCATGAAACACTCCTGTATCTTTAGTCCCAATAAATTCTAGGGGCAGCCCCTATATTCTGCTGTCACAGGCAGCTTTATCTTTCTCAAGTGAAGGTTCTGTATCAGTCTTGTGTCTCCCAAACCCAGACAAGTCTTATCAATGAAAGGACCATCTTTCAATGGTCCTATGGAAACCTCCTTGATATTAGGCTAAAAGTAAAGAAATTAGCATTCTTGCCACCAAGGATTTCCCTGTTGGATGGAGATACATTCTCCCAGACACTAAAGCTTTCTTTACAAATCATTTTCCTTACATCCTCAGCCCTAAATCCTTGATCTATCTGAAGGTCTAAGAGTTCTGGTACTGGTTCCCTGAGTTTATTCTGTTATCTGTCTCTCACACCCTTTGTAATTCCATACTCTCAGATAATGGACTGTTATACTGATGATTCGATAAAAACAGAGGCAGAAATATCCCTACATCCTCAATTGTATATACATTGTTTTTGCATATGGTTTTAGGATTTAAGCCAATAAATGGAACCCAGAGAAAACTTGGGTTAGATTCACTGATCCAGTTTTTAATAAGTTATGGTTATAGTTGGGAATCCACTAAAATAACAGGGATATAGGAATGTATATGTATGGCCCCCTACCTTTTGAAATATGTAAACCAGTTTTCAGAGTGCTCTGTGATAAATACTATAATAGAGCAGGAGGTGTGTGAAGACATGTAATTCTATTAAGGGGATGCAGGAAAGGTCTCAGAAAAAAATAACACTAAAAATGAGACCCAAGGTGGACAAGTAGGGGCAGAGGTGGTTGAGGGCATCCAAGTCAGAAGGAACATGTGCAGAAGTATAGAATCATGACCATAGGTAGAAAGCAGCGCTCCTGGAGATACTTGATGGAAGTCGTGATTAGATAAATCAGGTAAGTGCATGGGGCCTTGATTGCTTTTGCTCAGGAGGTTCTTGGACATTCTTCCAATTCTCCACTTATTAGGGTAAATCCCAGATCAGTGACATAGACAGGAAATCATTTTGGAGCATCTTGAATAGTTCAGGCATGAGATTATGGAAGCCTGGATGAAAGTCCTAGCAGGGGTAATGACAGGAATGGTAGTTTTGATAAAACACATGTAGCTGGGGGGTAAGGGAGACAGAAAATTGCCACTGTATTTCTTAAGCCAAAAACCTTAGTTATCTTAGATTTTCTAAGACAAAGAACACAGGAAAGGAAGCCAGTTGAGGGAAGATAAAGACCAATTAGGTTTGGGACACAAATTTGAGGTGGAGATATCTAGAGAGCTTTAGAGATATCATGTGGCTTTAGAGGTTTTTCTGTAGAGCCTGGGTTTTCATGTTCTACAGCCACTGCACAGCTCCCGCTGTCTTGGCTAACTTGCCTGCAGCGCTCGGTGTCACAGAGGCAGATGCAGTAAAGATGTATTTGAAGGCCAGGGTTAGACACTTGTAAGTCAGGGACAAGGCATGCCTTGATTCCTCCATTTCAGCTTCATTCTCAGAAGACAAGGGGCTGAAGTTCACAACCAATTAAAAAAATGATTTGCAAGACAATTCTTTCTAATGGTAGGTAATAGCTTACCATTGTTTAATGAAGGTTTAAAGTGCCTGGATTCAACCCCAGGATGAAGTAGGTCCCTTCCACATAATGGTCAACAGGGCACTGGGATAAATGGTCAGATTTGGGTCTGATTCACAGGACGAGGTAAACACGGTTGACAGGTCAGTCACAGGGAATCCCATGGCGTAACAGTGTACCAGGCAATGATTTATCTCCAGGTGCCAGCGACTTAATTGAAGAAGATTACATAGGGCAGATGAGAATTAGAAGGGCTGTGTCAAGTTTCAACTTCAAAAGACAAGAACAGAAATTGAATCAAGAGGGGTCGAGAAAAGGCTTTCTTGATCACCCACCTAGGGAAGGTATTGTTATCCATTTCACCAATTTTTCCCAGCTCTTGTTGTTTCCTTCATGGTACTTACCATAAAGGTTTTTGCTCCCATATCTGTTTACCTGTGACTTCTCCACTGAACTCAAGGGCAGCAACTTGTCTACTTCTTTATCTTCAGTACCCAGAACATAGTAGACAGTCATATATTTTGAGCAAATGAGGTGGAATACAAGGTGGGTTGAAGCCAATGGTTCTGGAGTAAGATCATAAACAAATTATAGCAGACTACCAACTCTTTCAATGGGGGCTCACTACGTATGGGGTGGGCTGGCTTGTCAGTGCTAGCACCCTGGCCAGTCAAGTCACTCTATAGGTCCTATGCCAATCAAGTCCCTTCTAATAATGGCCTCTAAGTATTAGAACCAAAGGCTTTCATTTAGTTCCTATCTGTTACTTCTACTCATGCCTCAATATAATGCTTCTAAAATACACCTGCCTCAATTGTCTATCCTGTTTGTACAACTGCTTCCAAGGGTGCATACCTCCTGTCTCAGGAGTGAGCCCTCTGTTTTATAGGTAGTTCTGATATGTTTTGTTACAATGTTGGAAATATCTGATGTATATCTATTTTCATCACTCACAATGCAGTACTTTACCTAAGAGGCCCTGTCTATGCTTGCTTTTTTATGTACACAGAAATGAGGAGAACATAAACATCTGCAGCTGAGCCTTTAAAGTTTCAAGAGATAATCTTGGATTACCTCACTCATTGGAGCTGTGGGAAAGATAAACTGCTTGGCTGTTTTAAATGTTTGAAAGGCTGTGGCCCAGTCACTCCATGATGAAAACCCAGCAGTGCAGTAACTTCAGGGTATAGAGGAAAAAGGTGAATAAACTTCCAATATTATCTGGGAGTCAGAGGGAGGAATTAAGGAGGGGAACCCAAGGCCAGCTGCTAGGGGTCAGTGACTGCAGGTTATAGGCTAGTTGGGAGGCATTATTAGGTCAGAGCTGAAGGGCAGAACTCAAGGCAGTTAGTGAGTGCATGGTTGATATTCGCCACATTGGCATTTGGTGACCTTTAGAGTTGCAACATTGATAAAATTCAACTTAGGAATGTTTATTGTGGGCACTTCAGAATAGTGATCAGAAGGACTTGGGTATCTGACAAACTTCTCCCTCAGGCTCCTCCCCTTCGGTTGTCTCCAACCTGACTTGGCCAAAGCCATGGTCACAGGCACAGCTTGAGGGAAGGATGCCGGCACCTCCATGGTGGGTTTGAGCTGTTTCATTGGCTTGCTTGAAACATCTGGTTTTCTGTTTGTTCTTTAATATACCATTTTCATCTTTTGAGGGAGTGTTGCTAGACCCACTTGATCTTATGACCCGGTGGGTCTGACAGGGTTCTGCTCATGGCAACTGTGGACATGTGGAATGCTAGTGCCAAGTGACCACTTCTAGCAGAGCCCAGTAGCACAACAGGAGTTGTTTTTAAAAATAAAGCCAAAAATGCACAACTTCAGAATAAGCTTAGTTTCTAGAAATTGCTAAATCGAAAATTACTCTGATCAGTAAAAGATGAACAAAAAGTATTAAGTCATATTCACAATGTTGAGAGTGTGAAATACTTTAACCAATGATAGAGTTAGAGTAGAAATAGCTAACATTAATTCTTTTGCTTTCTCTATTAAGGAGAACAATTTTTCAAAATATTTATGATGGCATTAAACATAAAAGTAGATGAAAAATAAAAAAAAAGAACTATAATAAACTAAATTATTTAAATTTTTCCAGGCTCAGAAGAGCATATCTTAAGGCAATTAAAAAACATTAACATATATCTGAGGTGGAAATGCTTTTAGTAATCATAGAGAATTAGAAAATAGAAAATGAAAATATGCCTCAACTTTCAAGAAAAGAAGAAAGGTAGGGCTTTAGAAACTATAGCCCAATTTGCTTAATGTCAATTCCAAGAAATTCTACAAGGGATTACTAAACAGGTTATTATTAATAGAGAAGAAAGCAATAACTGTGAAGAACTACTATGTTTAATACCTTATTATATAAATTCTTTTTAAAGTAAAAGTTTTGAGTTGGCAAATAAGAAGATATATAATTATCCATGACAATGACATGGCCTTCCTTGCTAAATATCCCCAGGAGCCTATGTTGTGATTGTCTCCCTGGGACTTGCCACAAATTCCACATGCATCTTTTTTCAGGACTGACACTTCAGTAAGGTCTGTCAGATCATAAGGCCCAAGCAATAGGGCTGCTTGTAGCACACAAAAATCTGGTCCTTTAAAAATACATGCAGACTCATTGGGTGGGCTTCTTTGGAACTAGGAAGGTTAGCAGAGGTGACTTGAATATAGGTGGGAAACAAAGACGAGGAGAAAGGAAATCCTCTTCTTTTCTCAGTCCTATAAAGAAAGACACTTTTGTCCAGCAAAAGTGCTACCCCAGCTTATCTCCCAGAAAATCCAATGAGACTGATATCGTCTACCTGA